CAATCCAAAGCATTGGATTGGCTAAAACCGGCAAGGGGGCGGGGCCAAACACCGTTTTGGCCAATCAGCACCTCCTCATAGAGATGCATTGAATCAATCTCCATGCAGAGCGTGGGGACACTGAACGGCAGGGCTGCTTACTGTGCAGCACTGAGCCAGGAAGCACCTCCAGTGGCCATCTAAAGAGTGGCCACTTGGAGGTGTATCTAGGGGCAATGTAAACACTGCCTTTTCTCTGTAACAGCAGTGTTTGCATAAAAATGCCTGAAGGGAGCTATTATACTCACCAGAACAACTACATTAAGCTGTAGTTGCTCTGGTGACTATAGTGTCCCTTTAACAGTGGCAGAGCTGTGTACAGCTTCAATTACTAAACAAGCGGAATATTCTGCACTAGATCGCATATTTAGGGACCATATTGTGATTAAATCATAAAATATTGCTCCTTAAGGAGTCATAGTGGAGCAATCACTACTCTGGAAATGACACCATTGAATAAAACTATGAAAATCACATACAACTTGTTTTAACACCCCCCTTTTTTTTTAAAGTGATATTCTCTTTTCTTTTAAACATGTATTAAATATTTAGCAAATGCCACCACCTTCCAGTTCAGTCAAGGCACAGGCAGAGCACACAATACTATGAAAAAACATTATTTCGTTTTTTATCTCTTCCAGTATATTCAACGGTAGAAAAGGGCAAGATATTTAATGATGATTAACAGAGAGCCACGATGGAGGAGCCCTAGTCCACGACAGATGTGTGGATTTCAACATTGTCAACATTTTATTTTTCAGACCTCACAAAAACATAAAATGTCAAATATATGGATAGGTAAACATAATATGCCAAATCCTGGGAAGGGGCAATTCCCCTTTAAGCGTTGCTTACTTATAGATTGAAACGCATCACGTATTCTTGTTTACTATATCTGCTCTGTTCTGCTGCCGGAGTCTGTGTAACCAAAGCCATCAATTACAACAGCCATCCCTATATACACGATGAGAAATCACTCAATGCAAATTACTGATGCTGACGATTCCGTTTTTTAACGACTTGCTGAACAGTTTTCACTGGGGTGCTTTATCTCGCTATAAAATAACAAATAATTTATTTCTACTGTTCAAACTTACTCCAGACCCTTAATGTGTGTTTCTCAATATTTAATAACAACAACAAAAAATGAATTATTAAGAAGAACTTGACAGGTGCATTGTCGCCATAAGGGCTGGAGGAGATGTCCATTACGTTTTCCCAACCCACTTCAATAACACACTGACACTTTTGGGTATGGGTCAGTATGTCCACAGCTTATATTTATATATTTATAATAAGATAATAATAATAACAACAACATAAAAAGTCATTGCCCACCCCCAAATCCTCAGCCATCCAATATCTCTTCCTCACATATCAATTCGCAAGGCAATGACCCATCAAATATAACATAACATTCTATAACAATCCATAAGTATAACAAAACAAGATCCAACATTTTCCACACGATCCTGGCAGGGTTATACCTTGATACCCCTAAACCACCTGGCTTCTGAGCTACCAACGAGCTCAAAACCACCAACATCTTACCAACAGGTAACCAGTCCATATTAAAATAGCCAACTCACTACTCTTGCTCTTCCTTAAGCAGGCCCGTTACCCCCTAACTTTCCTTCCACTAGCCCGCCGCTGTGACCAAGCGGGCAGAATAAAAAAAACAAAAACAAAAAACAACCTTAAAGGGAGGGAGGGACCAATTCAGCCTGGTAAGTCAATTAGCTATGAGGGTTTTTAAAATGGCCGACATTTATATCAGCCTACCCAGAATCCTGATCTGTCAATCACCACCCCTGCTCCACCTAAGCCCGCCTCCAAGCCCTGTCAAGGCCCCCGCTGCTAAGCTGCGCTTTCTTCTTGGGGCTACATCAACTCAAATTCAAAACTAGATCATAAAAAACCACCATCCAATAACGTGCAGTTATGTAGCACTTTGCCAAATTATATTTACATGAATTTGTACTCTTGGGGGGGAAAAAAACACTGTGTTCCTAATTAATAAACCCAAGCTTTGGCTTACACAAAGAAGCTTTTGTCAGTGATCTAGTCCTCAAGCCTTGGTAATCAGATTGTGATCTAGATTTCAAGCCTTAGCCATCAGAGTGTGATCCACTCCTCAAGCTTTGGCCATCAGGCTGTAATCTAGTCCTCAAACCTTGGACATCAGTCTGCAATCTAGTCCTCAAATCTTGGCCATCAGACTGTGATCTAGTCCTCAAACCTTGGCCATCAGACTGTGATCTAGTTATCAAACATTGGACATCGGACTGTGATCTAGTCCTCCTTGGCCATCAGACCGTGATCTAGTCCTCAAACCTTGGCCATCAGACTGTGATCTCTTCCTCAAACCTTGGCCATCAGATTGTGATCTAGTCATCAAATAATGGCCATCAGACCGTGATCTAGTCCTCCTTGGCCATCAGACTGTGATCTAGTAATCAAACCTTGGCCATCAGACTGTGGTCTAGCCCTCAAACCTTGGCCATCAGACTGTGATCTAGCCCTCAAACCTTGGCCATCAGACTGTGATCTAGTCATCAAATCATGGCCATCAGACTGTGAACTAGTCCTCCTTGGCCATCAGACTGTGATCTCTTCCTCAAACCTTGTCCATCAGACTGTGATCTCTTCCTCAAACCTTGGCCATAAGGCTGTGATCTAGTCATTAAATCATGGCCATCAGACTGTGATCTAACTTCAAACTTTGGCCATTAGACTGTAATCTAGCCATCAAGTCTTGGCCATCAGATTGTGATCTAGTCCTCAAATATTGGCCATCAGATTGTGAGCTAGTAATCAAACCTTAGACATCCGACTGTGATCTATTTCTTAAACATTAGTCATCAGCCTGTGATCTAGTCCTAAAGGCATAAGACTGTGATCTACTCTTCAAGCCTTGGTTACCAGACAATGGTTTAGTCCTCAACCTCAAGATATATATATATATATATATATATATATATATATATAACATCAAGACCATAAAGACCAGTGGAATCTTCTTTTTTACACGTACTCTTCTAATGTAATTATTTCTCTTCCTCCAATGTAATTTGTGCCCTGGCTATGCCTTGGCTGTGCCAGGACTGAACTGGAATGTGATGTCAATTGCTAAATCTTTACTATACAATTAGAATAAAAGGAAGCATCACATGAAAAAAGGTTAACACGTGTTATAGGTGATACTGAATGGTGTAATTTTCAGAAAAGTGACAGTTCTACTTTCTTTTTTAATTTTGACTAAATGTATGCTATTTTAACAAACATAGCAGATGATCAGCAAGACTTCCTGAAGCCCAGTGCTATAGATATCTAGTCACATGCTGAGCTGTGACTTCCCAGGGGCAATGTGTTTCCAGAAATATTAGTAATACCGTTAAAAGTTGTAAAATATACAGATTTTTTTTTTTAAGTTAAAAGATATAAGAAAGCAGCTATGTCACCTTTGTGGGTCTCTGACAGATCTCCGACAGCAACAGCCACTCAGCAAATTATATTTGAAGTGGTCATGGTACTTAGAGTCATTATGAACCACTGCAATGCAGAGTTTAACCCCTTTGCTGCTGAATGTGTAACTTAACGTTCAGAAGCATCATTGGGGCTTTGTTACCCAGACTGGAACAACTGAGTTGGCTAAGATGTGAGAGACAAGGGAACAAAGCCGGAAGCGGTAGGACAGATCTCAAAATTGTGACAGCATCGTCTGATTTGTGACTGGTGGTGGTATGCTTCGATTCCAACAGGTCAAAGAATTCAAATCTAATGCAATGTTAATATGTTACATTTATATTAAAACGCTTCGAGCGCCAATTAATATTTAATGACAGAAGAAATACATTTATTAGAAAATGTTGGGTTTTTTTGGCAGTCAACAGAGCTTAATCGATACAGTCTCTAAGCACTGGAGACAGTGGACAGATTTTGAATATGAATGTTCTGGACAAAGTTCTTAAAATGGACCAATCAGCATGGACATTCTATTGGTAATTGGTGGTGATTGCTCCATTTTTACAATGAATATGAATGAGCTGTCATACATCTGGCTCCAATAATGCTGGGCAAATCCACAGAAGTTGTCTAACAGTACTGCTAATCTAGGGCTGAAATTCTACAGCCACTTTACATAAAATGCTCATTGCAATTTAAGGGGTCAGACATATAAGAGAATACACTAAACTGATAACTGCACACATCAAAAGAGTTACAAGCAATCAAGAATGGTGATTAAAGAGGAGATTATGCCCCAAAATAACAAGTTTTACTCACAGATGTGCTTTTTAAAATATATATTTAGTGAATAACCCTGTCTGTTTCTCCTGACAGACTGTGCCAGCATTGAACTGGATTGTCAATTACCAAAGCTTTAATATCCTTTTAAAAGAAAACAGCGCATTACCCTGTTTCCCCGAAAATAAACCCTACCCCGAAAATAAGCCCTAGTCGGATTTTCGGGGTGGGCTGCAATATAAGCCCTACCCCGAAAATAAGACCTAGGCATTGTACCTTTGCGGCGAGACTTCCTTCTTCTACTGTAGGAGGAGCGTTGTGGGCCGCGGCATCGCGCAACGTGATGACGACATTTTGCAGCGCCGTCAGTCTGCCTT